CGAACCAGACTTTTAATTAGGTTCGAATTTTCGAACCGGACTTTTCGTCAGGTTCGAGTCCGGTTCAAGCTCGAACTGAACCAGACTCGAACTGAACCAGACTTTTTTTCGGAACTCTATTTATTACACTTTATTTTAATTGGATAGTTAATTTTCATATAATTTATAGATCATATTCTTTTTTATTTTATACTATTTTATTCATACTATTTTTTTTATTTCACATTATCCATATTTTATTTATACTATTCTTTTTTATTTCATATTATTCATACTATTAATTATAATTTAATATTATATAATCTTAATATAGAAAATACATATTAATCAATTAATATTATCTAATTTGATTAATATTAATTATAAATTATATATAATGATCAAGTAAGCAAGTGAACACTTTTTATGTAACAATAATATTAAATGATTAAATAACAAATAACTTGTATAAATATAATATATATTTTAGTTTAGTAAGTAAATAAACAAGTTAATTAAATAAGTTAATTATCTAATTATTTTATTTTTTATTTATATTCTTTTATTAAAAGATCTCTTATTTGTAATAAGAGATATTTTTACTTGATATAATTAATCTCTTGTCATTATCCTGCAAAGTTAATTATTATTATTTAAAAAGAAAATATAATTATTTTTAAAAAGTTAATCAATAAAAGAAGATTATTTAATAATAAATTATTTTCAATAATATGAAATTTTGTTACTTATTTTTAGATAATTAGTTATAAAATTAATCTTTTCCATCTTTAAAATATAATCTAATCAAAAACATGTGAAGAACACGTAATTCATGTTTAAAAGTTTACTAAAATAATAATAATATTTATTTTTTTGTATTAGATTTGATTTGTCAAATTGATTAAAAATTTGCTATATTCTTATTGGTTGCGCATAATTTTTGTGTGTGATTCGACATTTTTTTGTTATGGCTAGGATATTTTTTTAATACATAATGTTAAATAGTAACACTATCATGTACACATGATATGATATCTAATTGCTGATTGGTCTAAAGTAGATTGATCGCCATCCGAAAATAAAGATTCATTAATGAAAGTGATTATTTTTAAACTTTAATAACTTCATCAAAAAGCAAGTAATTAAAAAATAAACCGTCAATTTAAAAGAACATCATTAAAACTATCATTTTCACGGTTTAGTTTGTTAAAATTACCAAATTTGGAAGACTAGATAGAGTTCAAAGTTACATTAAATCTTTGATAAGTATAGATGTTATCGTTATGCACTATATGTTTAAAATAATGAATGTTCGAACAAAAAAATGTTTCAGCCCACACAGCACGTATCTGGCGTATTTATAAGTTTTACATGATTGCCGTGATCACGTAAGTATTGCAGTTTAGAGTGATTCGAAAGTCCGTTAATCATTTTCAGTGTAGCATGAAATAATTAGTATTACTATTTATATTTAACAAACTCAAGAATACTATTTTAAAAGCAATCCATTAATCCATTAAAGAGGACAGTGTAAAAGCATCTTGGTGGACATATATTAAATAAAACATTCGAAAAAATAATTGTACCGATGCAAAAGACAGACATGTTACAAGACAACAGGATCATGGACTTCAGCTTTTTAATGTTCCATTAACGCATTTCAACGACAGTTTATTCTTATTGACACAAATAGTTTATTTTATTTTCATTTGATCCATGAGATTTTGCGTTTCACATTCATCGATAATAAAACGCCGTTTTGCAACTGACGGTATGAGTGTCAGTGTACATCTTCAAGCAAGAAGGCGGTTTATGGTAATGTGGTAATAGTAGAGATGACATTGTTTCATGTAGCATTAAAGAATGGCTGGTCTGAAATGTGCTATGAAGAAACGACGAATTTGTTTATTCTTCGAAATGCTTACATGTAAAATTTTTACCCAGAAATACCTACATCATATTGTTCAATTATGAACAATATTATATTCTGGGACATATGAATTAGTGTTTCGGGTGAAACTATTTTTCAAAATCCGAAACGTTTCGCCCGATGAACTTTCTGTTTCCGCCTAGGAGTCCGAAACCCTTTGTAGATCAATTGGGCGAAAATAGTTTCGTCCGAAACACCAAGATAATTGGCAAATAGCATACGATAAAGGATTGATTACACAAGGAAATCCGCAAACAATTTAATGGCCACCAGGGCCTGTGAAGGGTCTGTACAGAGAATTGAAGCGCCGATGTAAGGTACGAAAAGTTGATGAATTTCGATTTGTTCATTATGTGACCGGTTCTGGGCAGATATGGAACTGTTTAAATAGAAGTTTAATTTCAGCCAAAAAAGGAAATTATATTTTTGTATTTTTAAAATTTACCAGTACAATTATATACACACCCCTACAGTATATTACCGTAAATTTCAAAAATGAATTTGTCACTTTGGAACCCGATATCTCGACATCCAGTGATCCAATTCGAACAAAGATATCACCATTTGTCGAGACGAATATAATGGTGATATCTTGTGCGAATTGGATTACAGATGTCGAGATATCGGGTTCCAAAGTGACAAATTCATTTTTGAAATTTCCGGTAATATACTGAGGGGTGTATAATTATTTAAGCTAAGCCACTTATGAGCTTAGAACAATAATTCTGTGTCACGTCTATAAAGCCTTGGTTAGTCATAATCTTTTCTGAAAAGTGGAGACGATTGGGTAAATTATTATAGAAGTGCAGAAAGAAAGAACTATAAGCTGCGATTTAGATGTAACTGTGCTATTTTCCGGGTTCATTACGTCAGGAAATGTCTTTTTTTGGCTTACCAAATGCAAGATATAAAAGAACATTTCAATAAATCTGATAGACAAGAAAATCACCTTTGTAGTACATCTTAATTGGGTAACTAGTTAGGGAGTAAAGATGCCGATTGACAGTTTTTTTACAGGTAAGAATTCGTGAGATTCGTGAGAATTCATAAACTATTCATGAGAATTAATAGCCGAAAAATAAAGAAAATGAGTTAACCAGTGAACTTGTGTGATATCATCAGTATATATACAATAGAACAAAATTTTAATTCTCTATTTTCCAACTTTCTATTTATATACACATACACTACGTATTTACATTCATACACCACATAGTATATACACATAGTACATATGCATGTGTACAGTACTTTTAATAGAATTAGTATTTATATTTTGAAAGAGCAGGTTGAATCATTATTAGTATCACCACGAAGAGAAACGTGAACTTTCTAAATTAATAAATATCTACAATAAAAAAAATGAGCGCATCTTGTGGTCTTTTCGGCAGAAAAAGTACAATACACCGTAAATTAGTGGTATTAGGTGATGGTGCGTGCGGAAAGACCTCTTTATTGAACGTCTTTACGAAAGGATACTTTCCACAGGTCAGTTTTAGTTGGAGAGAAAGAGGAAAAGTCGATTTTCATTTATTTTGGGGAAAGCGCGCGGATTTTTACAATAATAACTTTTTATAATAGGTATATGAACCAACGGTGTTTGAGAACCATGTACATGACATATGGGTCGACAATCAACAAATCGAATTGTTGTTATGGGATACTGCCGGTAAATAACATCGATCGATACTCGTCTTTTACTATTATCAGAATTCGAATCTGAAAATCTAACTCTTGCCTGCCTGCCTTTCTTTTGTTTAATAAAGGTCAAGAAGAATTTGATAGACTTCGTGCACTATCCTACGCAGATACACACGTGATCTTGCTATGTTATTCGGTAGACAATCGTAGTTCACTGGAGAATGTATTGACGAAATGGATGGTAGAAATACTGGAGCATTGTCCTGGTGTTAAGGTTGTTTTGGTTGCATTAAAATGTGATCTGAGAGATGATGATAACACTAAACGACACTTGTCAAGATTTGGACAGCAACCTATTTCATTTGAAGAGGTAATCTGAATTATGTTAATGTTCTTTGATTGGACTTTTATTAACCGTGATTCTTTTATTGTTATTTAGGGTTTAGCTGTTGCGCGAGATATTAAAGCGACACGATACTTGGAATGTTCAGCAAAACATAATCGAGGTAAACGATGTAATTTTCTCTTCCTTTAATCAATTATATTAATTGTACTAATAATAATTATTGATCATTATTGTTAATTAATCAGGCGTAAAAGAAGCATTTGAACAAGCAGCACGCGTAAGCATATCTGCTAGACCGAAAGGCAATAATAAAGCTAAATGCCTTATAATGTAAAAGGGTATTTGCGTGTACAAAGAAAAAAGCAGTTGCACAAAAAAAAACCAAACAAACACTATGATATCGATGATTATATGTCATCAAATCGAAGAACCTTCGATTCCATCCTCTTAAATAGATAAATCCTTTAATTTTAACTCGCATATATATAATTAATCTCTTGTATTTCTAATTTCTATTTTCCCTTTTGTTTATACTATAACTTTACAATTATTTCATTACAATCCAATTCGATTCTTTTGTCGAAAATAAGTTATTGTTATTTTGAATGTTTGATCTTTGCATAGTTAGGCTATTTTTAACTATTTAACCTTTCTTTCCTCATCATTTTTCATTCATTTCATAATCATCATCATTATCATTATCATCATCTTTAATACGAAAAATAATTTACGAAATGATGTCCAATAAAATTATCATCATCACCACTACCGTCACACAAAATACGTTAATCTGCCATTTATTATCGTTATTTTTTTATTATGATAAAGTGAATCTGTTATTTATTATTGTTACACTTTGTGAGCTTGATTTTTAATTTTGTTGTACATACAAATATTCCATTAATAGATTCACAGAATTACTCCCGCCTCTTTGCGACGTTAATCAGTCGTGTTGGGATTAATCTACCCCACATCCTAACCACAACATTTTTAAAGAATGCATGACGTCCAGCAATAGTACCGATAATAAGCAATATCAAAGAGTAAAGTGGTAATGTAATGCTTAAATAGGTTAATCGATAACTCCATGGACCTTCCAAGAATGAACCTTGAAAGAAATGAACAGAGAAGGCTTTAATATATGTATACGCGTGTTGAATTTAATCTAGATAAAATACCTTCGATTCCAAGCAAATTTGTTACGATAGGCCTGACGCATCTTACAGTAGTCGACCCAGTGATACCAAACACTATGAAAATTATAGTCCATTCTTTCCACCAAGCCAATGACCACCGTGTTAATTCAGCATGATTGTTACTGTGCCCGCTATCTTTAGTATTATCCAGGTTATTTTCATCGTGAGATGAAGTTGAATAATTACGATTTGGAGACGCGTTATTCGGTGATAAAAGATGTCCATTAGAATCTGGTGTAACGTTATTAATATTATTCTTTAAGGTTTGTGGAATGAGGGTTCCGGTACCAGACATAATAATACGCTGTTTTAATTGGGTGTTTGTAATATTTGTAAAGACACGACGGGATTGCGTGGAAAAAGAGGATTTGATAGTAGTGGTGGGGATAATAGAAGATAATGAAGAGAATTGTTGATTTATCCTCGCTGCATGAAAATTTCTTTTGCCAATGGTCAAACTATTGAAGCTATCGTTATTTCCAAAACACGTTTTTTCCACCTTTGAGCTTATAGAATTTGTATAAAGTATTGTTACTTTCGATGTCTGTAAAGTACGGCGCGAGCTATTGCGCGATAAAAAAGAAACAGAAAGTTTAGAGGCCGAGCGAAAAGAAAAAGATGACATTGATTAATCCGATATCTAAAAATTTTACTGATATATTCTAGCGCCAAAATCAAACTATGATCAGCAAACAATAACAATTTGCAAATCATAAATTTTGTTTATAATTTGATTCAATCTCGGAATAAATCATATAATAATTCCTATTGAACCGCTGATAATTATGCCGCGATTACTCCATAGTGATAGTATTTTGTTAAATATAAAAAATTGAGGAAATTTGTCTTTAAAGAACCCAACCGCATATATACACAGATAGTAGTCAAAAACGAAAATGATCCGAATTATAAGGTCCGATTATTAGTAAACCTGATTTTTTCCGAATTGAAAGTCTTTATTGTTTTTTTTTTGTTGTTGCATAGTTATTTTCTCACATTCGACAACCTTTTCTTTTCTCCTTCAAGCTAAAAATACAAAGATACATTTTAAGGATTGAATTTTAAGGATTCTCGACAACAAATTCAAAAACATACCACTTTCCTGACGCGTGCCAACGACCCAGAAGCACTTGAACCTGCTTTACAATTTTCCAAGTCATATGGTGGATTAATAATAACCTCATCTAAAACCACAATTTTTTCTTCGACCCATCGCACCGGCAACCTACAAAAAGATTTATTTATTCGTTATATACAAAAAAAATGTTTAATTAACATTCAGCAATAAAAAAAGAAACTCACGTTTTACTCAGGGCATCAAAAATCTCTTGTGCCTCCACAGTCACACCAACACCAATTCTTGCCAAAAATTGTTGCGTTTCCCTGTATGCTTGTATTTCCCTCGCTTGTACTCTTTCCATTTGCACATAACTCACGGAAGGAGATGTTGTGGCGAACACGCTAGTAGTGGTGTTAGTAGCATCATTTGATGTAGTACTTTGTCCATTCACTGATGTCGTATTCACGGTACCATGATGATTATTGACATTGACATTGTTAATTGAATTACTATTACTATTGCTATTACTATTGTTATTATTAGTAGTATTATGATTATTGATATTTCCATCAACAGATGGTTTTCGACTCGGCAATTGGATCACCTCTTTCAAGAAACTAATCTTTAAAATTCGAAAGTCATATTTTGGAGTGTTATTCGTGCTGGTATATGTCAAGTTAGCGGTGGATGGACATTGTGTTAGAATATAGGGATTCATTAATGTTTGAGAATTAAGGATAAGAAGCTAATAATAATTATCATCATAATAATCGTGCAATTACAAGAAAATAACAAAAAAAGGATATGAAGTACAACGCAATTGGTCTTTGTATCGTATGCATAAATCTGTCCTTCGTATTCTTCATCCGTCAAAGTTTTCACTCGAATGGAGAGCCCGAGAGCCCACTCTAAACCTTTTTGTTGTTGAAGTTGCTGAGGTGATTGTTGGTGTTGGTGTTGCTGTTGATGTTGATGATGTTGCTGTTGGTGTTGCTGTTGGTGTTGCTGTTGGTGTTGCTGTTGATGATGGTGATACTGATGTTGTTGCGACTCTCCCCGATTATCACCAGAGTCAATATTATAAGGCTTAACTTCAACTTTCGTTTCGGTTTCTGGTTGGGAATTGGCCAAATATTTGAGAAAAAAAAAGTTAATGAATGTTGGTTTCTATTTGAACAAGGATTTTGTTTGCTATTGCATCAGCAGCGATCATTTAGAGCAGAAAATCATCTTACTTAAACCTTTAACAGTAGAATTAGAAATATTATTGGAATTTGAGTTATTTGAGTTTGCGTGAGTATTGTTATTATTATTCCCTGCAGATCGTTGGTTAGAGTTGTCAGATGTGGCGGTATTGGAACGACTCGAAGTGTGCGATTTTGAGCTTGAGCGTTGCATGTGGCTAAGTAGATTCTAATTAATTAATGAAATCGTTTTTTTTTTGGCATTGGAAAAAGGCAAAATCAAGATGTCCCGGATGAAACTTACAAATAAAGATTGAGAAATAGTGGTGATACACCGGCTTTTATGCAGACACTAACGAACGAGAGGAAGGCGACCAAAAAACAGTGAGGTATGGTAGGAAAACCAACGACTGCTTTTTGTCCTTTTTTTCTTTTATTTGTTGAGGGGTGGAGTGAGGTCAATAGTTATTCTTGGAACACGGAACCGGATTTTTTCGGTCAAATAAAGATAAGTCTATACACAATATTAGTGTGAACGTTCACGTGTACATATTTTAGTGACTCATATTATGTCAAGTAAATTCACATCGATAACGGGCTTTAATATTTTCGAAAGAAAAAACGTCATCTCATTGACAACATTCTTCTTGATGCATTCATTAATCGTATTAAAACTTTAGCAAGATAATTTGCAGTGTTAATTTCATTGACTTTTATTATTTAAAAATTTTTTGCCACTAATAATAATATACAAAGAGAAAAACAAGGTTATATTAGGTTAGATTAGGTTAGATTAAATTAAATTAGATTAAATTAAATTAATTAAAATGAGAAGGAATATTTGTTTTTACGATGTTTGTAAAAGAAGAATAGAGAGGTGTTATGGAATGGGAAGAAAGAACAATTAAGGTTCTTTAAAGGAGGATTTTTACGATGTTTTGTAAAAGAAGAATAGAGAGAAGGTTATTATGGAATAGGAAGAAGATTGATAACAATTAAAGGAGGAGAAAAGGTTGTGTTATAAAATTTTGAGCGTAATTAAAAATTTTTAATATTATGTAGAGAATAAGTGTTTTTTCTACGGCATATTGATTGAGGGATTATTTTTTCTCTTGTCCAGCAAAATGTGTAAACGAAGAAAGAAGACGAGACAAAAAAATCAACTTTGTTGTTCTCGTTTTTGAAGTAAATAAAAATTTGTCTATAATTAACTTTACAATCTATTTTTCTATGTATGTGTATATATATATATATCTATCTATCTATTGGAGTTGAGTTTTGGTTTGGGTTTTATCTTAGTGATAAAAAATATAGATTTTTGGTTGCTTTGCTATATTAACAACTAATTATTTGGATATTTGCATATGATGAAGCTTAAGTGATGATTATTTTTTTAGGCTTAATTGGTTATTGTTTAAGTTGGTAATAGTATCGAATTTGAATTAGAAGAATTAAAAGAGTTTTTAAAAGCGGTTTGCGCGTTTCTATAAAAAAAACGAAAGGAAATAAGATTAGCGTCAAAGAAAACCAGTGTAATTATAAACACAAAATAATAGTAATCAAAAGTTCAATTTACCTCCCAAACTTTCATTGCCATTGCAGCCCGCAATTTCTCATAAAATGCACTACTTCCGCCCTTCTTAAACATGAGCCTCACGTATTCTCCTGTTCTCGATCCACGCATAACTTCTTCGCTCAATCTCATTCCACTCAGACCGTTATTCTCGGCGTCGTCCAAAAAGGACTGTGTTAATCCGGCACCACACATTTCACACTTAGGCAAAGTGACTTTATTCATGTAGGTACACGCGTGACATGGTCTCTCGATCGAAGAATCTTGTGAGAAAGAATTTTTTAATGATGGAGATTGTGTCGGTGATTCTGGTTGATTCTCGCCGCATAATTGACATCGTGCAAGACTTGCTGTGTTTCCGAAAGCACATGCTGGACAGATCCACGTTGTCACTTGTGAGAATGAGGATTGGGTGTTGTTATGGTTTGAGAGTGAAAAGTGAAGGATGATTTTACGTGACGATCTTAATAACCCAGTCTAAGAATCGAGTTTATTTATGTATGAGTAAAAGAGCAAGAACCAAAATTGAAGTTTAATAACAATTAATTAATTGATATTTTACCATATATTCAAGTCCTTTGATATGTTTTAGATCGAGCGCGACTGAATTATTGTTTGGTTGTTTAGAGTCCACGTAGATTATTCGATGAGAAGTCAAATATATTTTACCATTTCCATATTTTGCATTCTTATCGGTTCTAAATAAAAATATCGTTCGTTAATTTAGTGGATTTAATATATAATATACGCGCGTGCATTATATTCTATATTTTATATTTCCCCAACTTACCCATCGAATAATCCAGCGTTATCTTGAACTAGAAATAATCTCTCGTCAACTATCAAAAGCGGTTGTAGACTCCCAGCAAGTTCAATTGGCAAGAAACGATCCATCATATTTTCAAAATTTTCTTTCTGGTACGAGGAATCTTTCAAGGTTTTATTCTGTTGTTGTTGTTGTTGTTGCTGCTGCTGTTGGTTATTTTGTTGAAGTTGTCGCAATGGCAAAGAAGAGAAAGTCTGTCCGTTTTCGGAGATGGTTAAGGTCTGTGTGTTGATTAGTATCTCCAGTTTGTTTAGTTTTGTATTTTGAAAGTGAGAGAAGAGAGTGAGAATCAGCTATTATATATATATATATATATATATGTATGTATGTATATGCTAATTGGAGAATGCGATATCTGATTGATTATTTAGAGAAGTACTTGTAATTTTTTGTGGAGATTACTTCCGTCTCCCTTAGTATATATACTTTTTTCATCTGACAGCTTAACAAAGACCGACTCTGTCTAAAAATAACATTAAAAATGTTCCGAAAGGAAAAGCATTTTTGCTATAATCATTGTATCATTTGTTTGTTATGACATTTCAGCGACTAAATAATTTCCTACGCATTTAATATTTCCCATTCTATTCAAATACATATAACACATTCATGTACATATACGCACACGCGAGCGAAAGAAAGAGTTACAACAATCACAGAGCGACACAAGAATACAAAGTACAAACAAAGAATCTTTATTCAAAAAATTCAAGACAATATTAGTAGTAGATGTTAGTGGTCATTAAGTGGTCATTAGCTCGTATAGGATTTTGGAAATATATTTTACCATGATTTTTAATTTCTTTGTTTCTTCACTTTCATCGTCATCGTCAAAATGATATGCTGAGGCGGAAATATTGTTTTTCCCAAAAAAAGTTACTAATAATTTAGGTGCGAGTACGGGAGACACACGCGTACATTTTTTTCATTTAAACAAAGTTAAGATTCTCGTTTGCAGACAATGAAAAATTCAGTTTCGGGATTTTCAGTCGTTTTTGGGAATTAATGCAAGTGTACAACACTACGTATTACGTATTACTTTTCTCTCCTAAATTTCGATTCTTGTTTTCCTGATTAGATTTTTAATGCGTGCGTACACAAATAAATTATGCTATATATCAATTCTCGCGCGTAACAAATTAAATAAATCAATAGTCGAAACAATGGCAAGTGATCTTTATTTTACGATTAGATTCGCGGTCACCGTTTCATCTTTTTGATGTGGTGCACAATTTTACCGGAAAATCATCCTGTATCTAGTTACTATCCAAACAATCATTGTTTGGAACGGTCCAATTAGATAAGAAGTTCATTGTTTTCTTTCTACTGCACAAGGAAATAAAGATCGCAATTCGATTACGTGCGTATTACTATTCTAAAGTGATACTATTGTTCTTGTTGCTTTTCACAATAAAGAAGCTTAAAAACAATAGAGTCAAGAAAAATTTTTTTATTCACTAATGAAACAATGAAAAGAAGAGGTTCAAAGGAATGAATTTCATTGTTTTGAATTTGGTTATTGAATTCATGCCAGTAGAAAAGTATAAGATTAATAGATAAATCTTCCGAAAGGTATATTAACTATTATCCCGAAACTCTTTTTTCTCGATGGAGCAAAGAACATTACCCATAGTTTTTTAATTTATCGCATTTATTTTATTATATTAAGTATCACATACTTATATGTAAACATTTATTTGTCACAAGTTGCTTATACAGGTAATTGTTAAAAGGCTTGGACATAAATCCAGCAATTTGATTGGTTGGGACAAGTGTCCTGATCAATCAAATTGCTGGATTTGTGTCCAAGTGACAACACTGGTTAAAAGTAACACAAAACGTACAACAAAAATTGATGCGATTGTATACGGTTTCACAGATTACATTATAAATCTAACAATTCTTTTTTTCCTCTCAAATTATTAAACATGTCTATCTTTAATCCTTTAACGTGGTTGTGGCCAAATTCCAAATCGTCATCCGCATTAACTCTATCCCCCGACTCAACCACAGTCTTTGCCGAAGTGCCACCACTACCAAGTCTTACTACTTACTTCGCTTACGGTTCGAATATGTCCGTTGACCAAATGAACCTACGAAAGATTCCGTGGACGAATCGATGCGCGGCTGCAATTCGTGACTATCGTATAGCATTTAACTCGGATGGCGGGATAAAATCTTATGCGAATATCATGCCGAAACCGGGGAAAAATGTGTATGGAATCATGTATGAAGGTTGTAATCATCAATCGTTTGAGAATCTTGATTGGCATGAGGAGGTCAAAATAGGTAGGTATTTACGGGTGGAAGTAGATATATTAATGCCGCTTACTGAGGATGGACTTTGGGAGTACGGGCTGGATGGCGAATTTTTGAATGGGAACGAACTTGGAAAGAAAGATCCTGCGAAGAGTCTTCGAACAGTAGTGTATATTGGTGCACCCTCATTTATTAAGGAAGGGTTATCGCCTACTAGGGAATATTTAAGTAGACTTTTAAAGGGAGAGGATTATTTGCCGAAAGAATATTTTGAAGAACTTAAACGGACCCCAACTATTGATGTCTATGAAGACCGTATTTAAGATGGGAAAGCATGATGAAAATTTGCAATATCTATTATAATAAACTATAAGTAACAATTGTACTAATAAATTTATATAGTATTTACAGAATTGCAAAATTAATTTAAGTTATATCTTTTATGCATATATCATTATTGCTCTTTTATTATAAAAAATTGTCGATAATTCTGGCCCAATGATCCCATGCGCTGCACAATTTTGGCCAAAATTTCCGTTTTCATCATCACCACATTTTAATGCTGATCAGATTTAGTGGTACAAACTCTATAACGAACTGATGGTTCAGTTAGTAAAAAAAGTTCGTTATATAAAATCACTATGTTTTCTATAGAGCCCACTACTCTTTCTATAACGAACTAATATAAAATTTAAGGTTCGTTATATCCAGAGTTCGTTACAGAGAGAATCGACTGTATATTACATGATTCACTCTGATAATGTTATATTTAAATATCGATATACAGTAAAACCTCTTTAAGTGCACCCCCTCGGGACCATAGTAAAAAAAGGCAGAGTGTGCACTTAGAGAGGGAGTGCATTTATAGAGTAAAATATATGTGTCTTATAACTTGGAACCAAGCCATACCGTGTATTTAGAGAATTTATTGGTGTGTGCATTTATAGAGGATGTACTTGGAGAGGTTTTACTGTATATTATTAGAAATTATAAATACAACAAATATTGCTTTCCTATGTCCCCCTTCTTTGCTTGATAAATAAGTAAAATCTGCTATATTCACACTCGCGCGTGCACCCTCAGCAATTCAATAATCGGAAATGAGGGTTAAAACACTCGATGTTGGCTTGTTTCGACGGATAAATTTTAATCTTCGTCAATATCATCAGTCCAAACAAAATAAAAAGTACTCATTTTGAACCACAAGGAAAATATTTTGACAACAGATTATTTTAGTCAATTTTGTAAAACTGAGTAATTTAAATCAAAAATGTTATACTCTAAAAAATCTACCTTTGTACCAATTTTCACAAAAAACTGGCTCAAAATTTATCAATATTCAAGATCCCGAAGGTTCGAATTTCTGCTAGGAGCGTTAATTCGACTATTTATTTACTAACAGAGATTTGAACCTTCAGGAACTCAAAATCTCGAAAAATTTTGAGCCAATTTTAGTGAAAATTGGTACATAGGCAGATTTTGTAGAATATGATTTAAATTAATCAATTTTACAAATTGACTAAAATAATCTTTTGTCAAAATATTTTTAAAAATTACTATATTTTGTGGTTCAAAATGAGTACTTTTTTTTTTTGTTTTGACTGATATTAACAAAGATAAAAATTCTAGAGTTTTGATCACGTGTTCCATTTCTTGTGCGAGTCACTGTGCTGGATCAGCTGGACCTGCCCAGTTTCAAAATGACTGGCTGACTTCACGAGAATGATTTTAACTAAAATTTTAGATTTCTAACAATGATTATACCAAACAAAGGCATCCTAAGCCGAAAATGCGCTAAACCGATTTTTTTCGATCCAAATTTTATGTATATTCAGCTTAGCACGAAGTTTAGTATATATCGATATAGTGCAGTTAATGATAGTCCACACCCCATTTATTAACGTTAACTTTTATATGTAGTTACTTGATAACGATCTATAGGTACGACCATTTATATTAATATTAAACAACTAATAGAGAGATGTAAATGTGACTATCGCCTGTATTCGGAACTCCCCGGGTTATCGAGTTTACCTCAAAACCACTAATTTAAGTGTGGCAGATTAACGTTAAAATGAAATGAAATATAGTAAGGTATGGTGCATAAAATCTAAAGTCATCAAATGGTTGTATTTTATAAAATGGATAAACTTCTTTACTAAGACGTAAAGGCCTATTCTATCATAATCACGGATTAAATTCTGAAGAAGTTTATCCATTTTATAAAATACAACCATTTGATGACTAGATTTTATGCACCATATAAATAATAATGACAAAATTTGACACTATACTTTATACACAGAGTCCATAATTAACTCTTTCCAAAAAAGACTATTAGATTTCCATTTAATCTGATTTCGAAGAAATTGAATCTTTTGCAGAAAAAATAATTTGCTTTATTAAAAATGTAGTGCTTCATGCATTACCATTATTTTAATTGCGGTTGTGTTTATGCATGAACAAGCTCAATATCATTATCGTTATGTAAGTCGTTCAAATTATTTTTAGCGTTAGGGTTTTCCAAATTTAAACAGTGACACTAATAAATATAATTTACACAAGTTAAATTGTCACGAAAATTCTTGGGAGAAAAAGAGGAAAAATGAATAACGGTATTTCAATTTTTCTCAAAACAATGCAAAAAAACCAGGAAAAGCAATAATATTGCCTTTGACTTTTCCTTTTTCGATTCCAATTCCACGTCTATGCGAATATAAAGGTGCAAACACAACAAACAGAAATGCAAATCAAAGTTTCACAAAATAAATGAATGCAAGAATGATAACGATCGTGATAATAAAGAATACTTGCCATTGTCGTTACGCTATGTTGTGTGTTAGAAAACGAAATTATGGAAGAACGAATATTCTGTCGGGTAGAACAGAAGAGACACTATTACAGTTGTGAAATAGCATTCGAGTAAGCGATTGGCATTTTTCTAAGAAAAGGTGATACCAAAATATCATTTTTATTCCTAATATTGGATTAACGTACACAGATACACAGACGTGCATGCACAGACACGTTGGTAACAGTGTGATTTTTTGGTTTATCGTTATAATTATTTAATCAACAAAAAGCGCTATCAATTCATATCAATATATATTTAAAATACGTAAAGTTAAAAAATGTCCGTAACAGCTTCAAACACTAAACCCAACCCTTACATCACACACTCGAGCGTAATACGCTTCGGACCCGACCCATTTACAGATTCAACTGTCGACAACAATACAACTACAACTGTTACTACTACTGATACCTTACATAGACCTTTCGAACGTCGGTATACTCCCATATCACCGTCGCCTTTAGCACAATCCGAAATGTCTTATCACACAGAAGAGCCTGTACTTGCCGAATTACTTCCAAACCAACAACAACCAACACCACAACGTTTAAGTTATTACAATTATAACAAGTTACAACAAAGTCAATCCGAAGCGGTTGCACCTTTACCACCACCACCACCACCAACAACAACAACGGCGACTCCTGACCAACAAAATACAATTGATAGTCGACGAGAACGAAAACGCACATGTGTTGAGAATAATCGAAAAAAACAATTTTTTGATAAAATTGACCAATTAGATTTAAGTGATATTTATGGAGGAATAAGTATGTCATTTTTTCATCAATTGAATTGATTAATTAATTAATTAATTAATCTAATAATTAAATTAATTTGCTATATAATAAACAGCCTTGCATCATGAGAGTCCATACGATTGTGTTTTGCCATACCGAAATGGCAATGCACAAGCACCAGTATTAGCATTCCAACAAAGTGAAGAAAATAACTACAATGAATCAAGGCTGTCATTCCAACCAAGTCAACAATTCGACCAAGATGTTAATCCGGAACACAACAAGGAAGTGTATCGTAAATCTACTAATAATCGATATACTGCTTATGATCCGCTACAATATATGGACAGTTTCTTGGAAGGCTCAACTGCATACGGCATACACCCCGAAGGCGAAGAGGATAGACGAGGCAGCCGTTTACGAGAAAGAATGAATGTTTTTGATAACAAGAAACCAAATTCACCCAGATTTTCAAGAGCTATATCGTCACCTGGAGAAGAAACTTCAAAACGTTACACTGGATTAATTGCTCCAACCCAATTATTTAATAGGTTCCGACGTCCATCTACTGAAGCAGGAGGTGATGGTATTAGCTCTAATAATAACTTACCGAAACATGGACGATCAATTAGCGATAGTAACATGAAATCGAGTCAAGCTAATAATTCCCCATTACAACCAATTCAACCTCGATCTCGACAAGAATCACAATCACCTCCATTACCTGTTCCAGAATTTAGTTACTCAATACAAGATGAAAATAATAATCATCATAAGTTACAACCAACACAAACCTCGAATGAATATCTACGACCAAATTCCAGGGATTCGAAAAAGAAAGGAAATAATCGTACTTCTTGGGTGCAAAGAATTACGAGTATTGGTCGATGAGTTTTGAATTGTTACTATATTTCTGTAGCAAAAATCTTTAAGCTATTAAAGAATTCAATAATATATCTAATTTTGGACAATCACCTTTTTTATCCTCGACCATATAAACCATTACAAGTCGTCGTCTAATTTATTTTTATTTATTTTTATTTTTTTATGATATATTTGTAATTTATATATACATATCAATATTGTAAATCAGAATTATGCGATTTTATTAAAGATTATAATATTAATGGCAAGACTTCTCAGTTCTTAATCTCGCTAATACAAACAATCCTCGAAGAGACATTACTTACAAATTCACCACATATTTACTCTTAACCCTATTATTCAATGAGACTAATGGCAGGAAAATATCCAACAAACATAATTTGAACTGATATAATATCTTTCAAGTTCTTGAATTCAAATTTTTTTGGAAACAAAAATTTGGTGTCGCGTCTTTCAATTTCTTTTTGTAAAAACCAGTTTTTTGCACATAACGATAACTGAAACTCGTTAAGACGAATTTTTTTTTGGCTCTCTTAATAGCTAGGCGATAAACCGAAAGGTATATATGTTGTCTCATATGTCGTTTTGCCTCAGGTGTCGATTCATGTGATCACTCTGGCGAACATTAATCTATTTCACCAGCACTAACCCTAACCCTAACCCCAACTCTAGTAGAACTCCTATTCTAATTTTGGCTGATCGATACCTGAGGCACAACATATATATATAGTGACAATCAAAAATAATGCAATGACAATCAAAAATAATGCAACGACGTCGTTGCATTATTTTTGATTGCCACTATATATATGTGATGGACAGGTGTAAAGTTTTTCTTATAGATTTCAAGCCTGATCCGGATCTTTGGATACTCGGATCGAAATCAAAATACTCGGATCGAAATCAAAATCTATTATTTTGTTTTCGCGTTTTTTTTTTCGCTAATTTATATATTATGATAGCTAAATCTTTCGAAAGCGCCGTCTATATGCAAAGCATCCGACAGTTATTATGTACTCGGAGTTTTTATATTAATATAAGAATTACTAGGTCTAACATAAATACGTTTGCGTTTTGGCGCCGTACAATATCCACTTCTGTTGTAAGGCTAGCAACAGAATCTAAAGTAAAATCCAATGAGTCTGCTAGTAAGGCGTATAGTGATACTTTACTCTTACCTAAAACAAATTTTCCGCTTCGTGCGGATGCTGCAAAACGCGAAATTACATTTAGAAAACGATGTACTGAAGATTTATATTTATGGCAGGTGACAATCCTTAGATTTTTTGAATATTTACGCATAAATGTACATTATTACAGAAATTGATGAAATGATTTAATAATAGTTAGAGAATAATCCAAAAGAGTTATTTATACTACACGATGGTCCACCGTACGCGAATGGAAATTTGCATATAGGTTGAGATTTCTAAGAATCTGTTTTATATATATATATGTATATACTTGAATAATCCATTAAATAATTATATAGGGCATGCATTCAATAAAATATTAAAAGACATCATAAATCGCTATAAAATTCTTCAGGGATATAAAGTAAAGTATGTGCCAATTTCATTATGACGAAAACAAAAAGGAAATATGACTCCTCATTTTGCGAAAAACCCTGAACCAAAGTATTTTATTATTTGATTCGAAATATATATTAGCTACATTCCAGGATGGGACTGTCATGGACTACCAATTGAATTGAAGGCACTTTCAGAGCTCAAAGTTCGTGTATGATTTCAATGTCGCTGCTAAATCTGATTTTGTAATTGATGATTTAATTAAATGTATTATTATAACATAACCAAAAAAGGCAGATGGTACTGTTTTGTCTCCTATGGAAATAAGAAAGATTGCGCGGGAGTGCGCGTTGAAAGCAATCGAAACGCAGAAACAAGATTTTATGAGTTGGTGTATTATTGGCGATTGGAAAAACGCGTATAGGACATTAGGTTATTTTTTCTGAAATATTAATGAATTTTTATTTTCTTTTGTACAATCATACCCTCTATATAATCACACGCTCGGGAACACAAAAAAAGTGCGACTTTAAAAAGGTTGTGGTTCAAATTTACTATGCTTCATAATAGCTGGGACCAGGGAAAGACGTGGTGGTAGAGAGGGTGTGACTTTATAGAATATAACTATTGTTGATTGTTAATTAAAAAATTGATTCGTGTTTTCAGATAAAGAGTATGAAGTGCGTCAGTTAAAAGTATTTCACGCAATGGTAAAAAAAGGTATTTGATATGTTTTTAAATTTTGTTTGATTTATTTCACCAAGAAAATAACGATTAATTGGTTATTCTCTCATCTTATACACATACATAAGGTTATATTTATAGGCAAAATAAGCCTGTATATTGGTCTCCATCATCGAGGTAAAAATATACAGAATGCTTCAATTTCACGTGATAAGCGCGTGACGTTATCAAATTTATTAAGGAATTTCTTTTGTAGAACGGCTTTGGCTGAAGCAGAATTAGAATATCACGATGATCATAGAAGTCGTTCTGTCTATGTGAAATTTCCT